CCTATTTTCATTGTTGTCACTTCCTTTCTTGTTGTAATAGCCTTAACTACAAACTTACTTATAATTTGGCAAACCTGGAAATCAGGACTTTATGTCCTGCTATCACTTTCCCCAGTGTTTTCCAATTTTATAATTGCGGTCACGTTTGATTCTCCGCTGAAGCCCATAAATATTCTTTCGTATCTTATTGTCTATATAAATATAAAAAGATTCTTCCTCTTAATGCAGCTAAAATTGTACCTGCTTTACATTTTTCTTAATTTCATTATCTTTTATGCTTTATTTTAACGAAAAACAATGCCCCAGCATGTTATAATGCGCTTGAGGAAGCCGTACACTGTTGCTACCATTTGGTCGAGTGGCAAGATCTGGTGCACTGGGGCGAGCTCGTATGTCTTCAATTTTATATGATAGGATATGCTTCATGACATTCGAAAATAGCATTTCAATTAATTGTATACTCTTTAAGTACCTAACCTATTTAATGTGGGCTGTTTGATTATGGCATTTCAACTGCTTTTTTATCTTCAGCATCGCACTTGGGACCTATTTATTATTTACCTTCTTATTTTCTGCAGGGTTAAACGGGCTCATCAAGGAGCTCGACGAATTGCGCGTCGTCTGGCCAAGTGTGGTTTTCCATGCCGTTTTAGTCGATATAGGATCGTCAATATAATGGCTACTTGCAAGCTCCCTTTTCGAGTGCGCCTGGATGAACTTGTTAAGGAACGACCTTTTTTGATGAGGTAAGTTCGATGTCGCAATGGTCATATTTTAATAACGTTTATTTGTTATGCCATTCCGATATAAATTTCTAATTGTGTGACGCAATTTTCGGGGCTATAATGTGTTGAAATTCGAATTATTCATTGTTTGCCAGCTCAACTTTTTAATTATATACGAAAGCATAGCCACTAACTTTATTAGGCTGGCCTCTTGAAGCTTGATTTACGATATGCGGCATCGTTGCTATTCCTGAAGCGTCTCAAATCAAAATTCGTTATTTCAATTATTATATTATAGATTTTCTCCTTTACAGATACAATTCCAGTAGATGATATTGAGTTGCATTCTTGCTTATTATTCA